ATGGTCTGCCATCCCACCCGAGCTATATGGGACAGACACGGCTACACACACACAGGCTGTCGTTGACTGAAGTGGCAGTAGGTGGCATGGGACTCGGGGTGTGTGTTCCTCCACTGAGACACAGTTAGGTTCCTTCCTTCCTTCCTTCCTTCCTTCCTTCCTTCCTTCCTTCCTTCTTTTGAAAGTCAGAGTTACACAGAGAAAGAAGGAGAGGTAGACAGAGAGAGAGGTCTTCCATTTGCTGGTTCACTCTCCAGTTGGCTGCAATGGTCAGAGCTGAGCTGATCTGAAGCCAGGAGCCAGGAGCTTCCTCTGGGTCTTCCATGCAGGTGCAGGAGGCAAGCCCTTGGGCCATCTTCTACTGCTTTCCCAGGCCATAACAGAGAGCTGGAAGTGGAGCAGCCAGGTCTCCATATGGGATGCTGGCACTGCAGGCGGCAGCTTTACCTGCTATGCACAGCGCCAGCCCCTAAATTGTTTCTTTAAAATATATATATATATATATATATATATATTTGAGAAGTAGGGAGAGACAGACAGAACTTCCATCTGCTGGCTTGCTGGGACACAAAGCACATGCCTCTTCAAATATACGAAAAACAAATTCCCTCTAAAGTGGTTATACCAACTAATATTCCCACTTGGGGAAGTTTCTATTTTGCAATATCCTCATAGGTATATGTTATTACCTGACTTTTTAAGTCTTGCCAATCTGATGAGTGAAATGTTGCATCACAGGCACATGAATTTGAATACTTGTGGAAGCTGCACGGTATTTCATGTGCTTAATTTCTATTGGAGCTTGTTTTGCCTCTTCACATCCTTGGCCTATTTATCTATTAGATTGTTTAACTTTTAAAAAATATTTCATGGGACTGGCACTGTGGTGTAGTAGCTTAAGCCTCCGCTTGCGGCGCCAGCCTCCCATATGGGTGCTGGTTTCAGTCCTGGATTCTCCTCTTCTGATCCAGCTCCTCGCTAACGTTCTGGGAAAGCAGTGGAGGATGGCCCAAGTGCTGGGGCCCCTGCACTCACATCAGAGACCCAGAGGAAGCTCCTGGATCCTGGCTTCTGCCTAGCTCAGCCTAGCCATTGCAGATGGAGGATCTCTGTCTGTAACTCTGCCTCTCAAATAAATAAATAAATATTTTTAAAAAATATTTGTTTTATTTGAAAGTCAGAGAGAGAGAGAGAGAGAGAGATCCTCCATCTGCTGGTTCACTTCCCAGATGGCTGCAATGACTAGGCTGAGCCAGGCAGAAGCCAGGAGCTTCCTCTGGGTCTCTGATGTGAGTGCAGGGACCGCAGCACTTGGCCCATCTTCCACTGCTTTCCCAGGCTCATCAGCAGGGAGCTGTTTTGGAAGTAGAGCAGCTGGGACTCGAACTGGTGCCAACATGGAATGCTGGCATCACAGGGAGTGGCTTTATCTGCTAGGCCAACACTGCCCCTCCCCACGATATATTTTGAGTACCTATTAGGTACCAGGCACTCCCAGCTATAAAATTATACAAAATAAGCATCGTTGTTCTCATGGTGTTTAAATGGCATTGGAAGTCTTGCCCTTGATGCTTCCATATTAATTTTAGAATCAGCTAAATATTTATGGTAAAACATTTTATGGAATTTTATTGAATTTGCTGGATACTTAAAAAATTCCATTTTATGATTTTTGAGATTTTCTGCTCATAAAATGGCAAAACTCTGTTTACTTCTTCTGCATTCTTCTGTAATGATTATTGTTTATTTAGAAATGGCATATCTTGTTAACTTGTTGGTTTTCAACAATTCGAGATGCGCAAGTTGCAAAAACAGCACAGTTCCCAATGGTGCCATCTAAATTATGGCACTCATCAAAGCAAGAAAATTGATGGTAGCACCACACAGTTAACTGGACTACACACTTCACTTGTATTCCATGCACTCATATTGTTGGTGCCTCTTTGTGTATGGTTCTGGGACATTTTAGGCCATCTCCAGATCCGTGCAGCCAACACTACACTCGAGATACAGAACTGGTTCTGGCACCCCAAAGGAATGCCTAGTTGTTAAAGATCTGGATCACTCCTGTCGCATCTTTGTGCCAGGGTGGCTGACATTTGAGAATGTCGTCTGGATGCTTTCCGCCCCTGTGCTCTGTGCCGGTGGAATGGGAGGTGACCGCCCCCCAGCAGCCCGACGCCAGTCACCTGTGAACCAGCTCGCCTGGGGCTTTGCAGGGTAGCTGCTTGTCTACCTTGCCAAACGGATCACGTCATTCCCTCTTCAAGGTTCTTCAGTGGCTTCCCTGCTCCTGGAAGAAAACATGGACTCCTTTCTATGGCCTTCAAGGCCCTGCACGAGCTTGCTCAGGTCAGTGAGCAGCGTCCTGCCCGCAGAGCACTGCCCGCTGCCTGCTGCCCACTGCCCACCGCCTCTGCTGCTTAAAGACATGGGTTCTTGCAGGCCGTGGCCTTCACGCATGCTGTTCCCCGTCCTGTCCTGGGATGTTCTTCAGTTCCTTCCTTCTGGCTCCTTCTTAGCCTTCAGCTTGCTCTTCACCTCCCACCCTCAAGCCAGCCCTCCCGGAGACCTCGTCGGGTGTGAGGGGCCCTACTCCCTTTCCATCATAGTGTGTCCTCGCAGATCACTCATCGGGCTGTGGAATCCTCATTTTCCGTTTTAAAAAGTTGGGGCCAGCGCCATGGCTCATTTGGCCAATTCTCCGTCTGCGGCGCCGGCATCCCATATGGGCACAGGGTTCTAGCCTGGTTGCTCCTCTTCCAGTCCAGCTCTCTGCTGTGGCCCGGGAAGCCAGTGGAGGATGGCCCAAGTGCTTGGGCCCTTCACCCACGTGGGAGACCAGGAGGAAGCGCCTGGCTCCTGGCTTCGGACTGGCGTAGTTCTGGCTGCAGTGGCCATTTCGGGGGTGAACCAATGGAAGGAAGACCTTTCTCTCTGTCTCTCTCTCACTAACTCTGTCAAATAAAAAAAGTTGATGTGCTTACTTAGAGAGCCAGAGAGAGACACAGAGAGACAGAGTGAGCTTCCATCCACGGCTTCACTCCCAAGACGCCTGCAGCAGGGACACTGGTGGCGGCAGGGCCCCAGTGCAGGTCTCCCATGTTTCCTGAGCCATCATTGCTACTTTTTAGGGCCTGCATGGCAGGTAGCTGGACCTGGGAATGAAAGCCAGGGGCTCTGAGATAGGATACAAGCTTCTTAGCCAGTGCCTTAGCTGCTAGGCTAAATGCCCAACCCCTCGTGTTCCTTTTTTTTCTTTTTTTTGTACTTGAGTGATAAATCTTTTATTTTCTAAATTACTTTCACAATGACTGTTACATTAATATTTGGGGAAATATTGCTTTTAAAAACTATCCTAAGAAAAACTATTTCCTAGATAATACGTAAATAAATATTTCCAGGATATAGTGGTAGTTAGTAAAAAACACACTTATACTCCCATCCTTTCCTATTAGTTGAAATTTGTTGGAAATTTCATTTATCAAGACGGTGACATCATTTGGTTTTGTAACTATCTTAGCAGAGTGGCACTGAAGCAACAGGCTCGCAAGCGTAGTTTAGTGCTACCCTTCGGAGCTGCTTTTGCTGCGGCTAACTTACTGTGTGCCTGCAGATAATCAGTGTCCCCTGCGCTGCTGGGGTCAGAGGTGAAGCAAGGATCGGACGTTTATATAAAAACTAAAACCAGAAGGCCTGGCTACACGTTAGAACTCTTTCATTAAAGCATTCTTCTTACTAGGCTATGTTCTGAAAGATAAAATGTTTTAGAAAAACAGCCCAATAGGCCTTATGATTTTGTAAAACATTCTGTTCAGAGGGGGACGTGCAGAGGAAAGGATGTTCGGATTTAAGGTACTGGAGGAGAAGTGACTACACCCAGCCACAGAAGGAGCCGATCCTGATGTATCCCTCCTGGAAGCCCTCACGCGTCTCGAGGCCCAGTGACACATCTGCCTGATTTTTAACGTAACAAGGAGATCTGACCGTTTATCAGGTTTTTCTCATTTCCAAGATTTTGCAATACTACAGAATTATTTTGGAAAGGCAGAATTCAATAAATTTGAAGCTCTCTCTATTAAGTGAGAAACACCTTTAAAAACACAATAGAACTGCATCTAATCAGTAATTACAGGCTAAATCATTGTAAACTCTTGTTGGACTTATTGTAAATTGACCTAAATACATATTTAGATTTTTTTCATTTCCTTTCTAAAATTTGTAGTTTTTCACAGATTCAATAGTTTCTAGACACCATTGTGAGCATATGCTGCTATTCCCTTCCCCTCCCCCATTCCCTCCCATCCTCCTTCCTTCTCCCTCTTTCATCCGTCCGTCCTTCCTCCCTTCTCTTTTCTCCTCTCTCTCATTCATTTTTAGCTTACTTATTGTTTGGTTCCCACCTTGCATCTACCAAGTTCCCTAAGACCCGCCCTGGACTCTTCCCTCTGCTTCCGTTCCCTAAGGGCTGTGTTTGGCCCGTTGTAGATACACCGCCCCCCATCCCCCCCCACCCCCCCCCCCCCCCCCCAAAAAAAAACAACAAAACGTTGCACCTGAATGAATGCGGGGATCAGTACAGTGGATGCTGGGAGGAATAGCAACACCATTGTCAGAAAAGACAGAAGATGGAATCAGGTAGGGTGGCGATCAGGTTTGTGTAGGCTTACTTTCATTAAAAAATTGCTTATTTTTACATTTTGTTTATTTGGGAGACCAAGAGGCAGAGAGACAGAAATGTCCCGTCTGTAGTTCACTCCTCAAAGGCCTACTACAGCCAGAGCTGGGCCATGCTGGAGCCATGAGCCAGGAACTCAACGCAGGTCTGCCGTGTGGGTGGGCAGGGACTACTGGGGCCTCCACTGCCCCCCAAGTGCATCGGCTGGAAGCTGGAGTCAGGAGCTGAGACTGAAATCCAGACTCTCTCAAGTAGGATGCGGCATCCTCTGCTATGCCAAACGCCTGCCCCGGGTCTAATTTTAGGTGACAGCAAAGAAGTGAAGTGGACAGAGAGAGATGGAGAGGATTGAGAACGTAGGTGTCAGAGTTATCCTTAACTTCTTACTAGCACTTATTCCCCGACCCGCTCCGCCACGGATCCACCGTCTCTCCGTCCGTCTATCTGCGCACCATGTGTTCTGCTCATTCAGCGATCCATCCCACCATCGTTTGAGGAAGGTGTGAGCCCTTCCCTGGAAACTGAGGAGGCAGCGACAGCCTCTGCCCTCAGCTGCGGCCGGCGGCAGGGATGTGAATTTACAACAGACCATGGTAAGTGCTGCTGTGAGGGAGTCCCGCGGGAGGAAACGCGTCCTACGAGAAGACAGGTGCGTGATGGCGGAAGGTTCCATTGTGAGGGCGCGCCGGAAGTCCGCGAGCGCTGCAAAGGAGCAGCTGACAGGCGCTGACAAGAGAGGGAGAAGTGGGTCAGACAATGAAAGGGAAAACAGGAGAGAAACGATACCCACGGAAAACCCTGAGCTTTGGAGTCAGTGAACGTGAATCCTGCTTCTCACCCGTGGGGAGCTCGAGACCCGAGCGATCCCCTCTGAGCCTCAGCCGTCTGCCCTGGAAAACAGAGATCCAAGTGCTAAGCGCGTGCTGGGCTAGGGGAGGGCTCTCTCCTGGTGCATGGAGGGTGCTGGCAGGTGGTGGTTGTGGTGACGGTGGTGATGGTGCTGCCGCTGGTGGGGCGGGGTGATCATGATCATGGTCAGTGTGCTGGGGACTGGAGGGTCCTTTAAGGATCGTGCTCCCGCTTGTTGAACTCTATCAACCCCGGGCCCTCCAGAGCCATTGTCCCTGGATGTGGGAATGTCATGGAAGTTTTGCTGGAGAGGAGTGGGGTGAACCACGCTCGTGCTGCCATCTCTTGCAGGATGACTACGTTTGAGCGGGAACTGGACTCCGAGCATCCCTTTCTGTAGGGAGAATACATTAGCTGCAATGTGTTACACCGCTTGCTGACTCGGAATCGCTGATGGTGAGTGCTCAAATTAAGTGATTACACTTTTTTTTTTTTTCTATTTTAAAAGATAAGCCTTCCGTCTGGGCTTTAGCAGCAGGGTCAAGTGCAATGGTCAGGGGAGGGAGTTTCTGGTTAGGATCAATTTGCTCTGATGACTACGGGGACTGCAGTTTGGAACCTAGCCAAGAGGAGCCGTGTTCTGTCTCTGGCACCTCTGCAGAGTCCCAGGACGCTAAGACACCGGGGGGGGGGGGGGCTGGGGAGGGGGCAGGGCCCGTTGGCAAAAGAGAAACACCTGTGCCAGGAAGGCCGCGAGCGAAACTACCACCTGCTTAAAGCGCGCAGCGCTGGGCCTGGCTCCCACCAGCTACGCTGCACACTTCCCTCCCCTCTTCCTCTCATAGGATTGCCATCCTGGGCGCCCGGTGACAAGGACCACTGAGAAAGTGAAGAAAGCCAGGGCAAGGCTGGCCAAATACGGCGAGTGCTGAGACTGTGGGCCAGAAGTATCTGGGTGGGAGGAAAGACCTTTTCCTCCAGCGCATGCGCAGACCGGCAAGCCTTGTGCAAGGGGTTGCATGGCTTAAAAATCCTTCCGCGACCGCGACCGCAACCGACAAGCCGCTGTGCTTTATCTCACTTTGCAGGTGAAGGTGTCAGGCTCAGGCGGGGCCATGACTTGCCCTGGATGTTGGCACTAGCTCGTGGCTGAGCCTGCGCGTGCCTCCAGGCTTTCCGACTCCCAGACCTCAGCCCGTTCCACCATCTGGTCCTGTGAGAAGGGGACGACGGAGAGACCGGGTGGTGGAAGCGAGCTTGCAGGTAGTGGAAGCGAGCTTGCAGGTAGTGGAAGCAAGCTTGCGAGGTGGGTCTGCTCTCTCTGCACTTGGCTCTGGGCTTACGTCCTTGCAGGAGTCAGACTACAGCCGAGCTGAGCCAGCACCCCATAGCGGTGGGGGTGGGAGTGGGGGGATAGACAGCAGATGTACAAGCTGGGGTCAGGAGCGCTCAGAATTTTCTGGACCCCCTGGAGCAAGGATCTTCCTACCAAGCCCAAGCCTCTTTCCCATGCCCTCTGTGGCTCAGCTGATGTGGCCCTGAGGCCCTCAGATGTGAGGAGCTGGGACCCCGCTCACCCTAGCCACCCAGCTCTGGTGTGACTCGGCCCCAAGCTCTCTGCGGAGACCCAGGGACCCACAACAGTCTCCTGGCTTAGGGCCCCCGAGTTTCTGAAGAGCTTCCACAAACACTGAAGATGAGGGAGGAAAAGTGTATGTGTTGGCCCACTGGAAAACATGACACAGAGCAGTGCCCAGATGCCCGCCCCTGATTAATGACCCACCACGAGGGCGGCATGTGTCATCAGTGGAGGGTGGCCCAGGTCACCCCCCAGTTCTTGTAAATCCAAGTTCAAGTACTGAAACAATGAATAATTTACCCTTCTCAAAATTGGAAATGATAACAATCCTTTTAAAACAGTTTACTGCAGTAAATGGCATTTAATGCGGGAGCCGGTGGCATTTTGTGCTTGTCATGATGACTGTGGATTTCAGGCCTACCAAGGCCTCAGAGGGACTCTGCCAGCCTTCAAGTGCCAGGTCCCTTAAGGTCACAGCGCGGCTGTGGAGGGAGGCTGCCGCTCGTTTGCTGGTGGAGCTGAGTGGCACTGCTCAGCAGGCAGCACTGTCCAGGAGCCCCTGGGCGGCAGGGGCTGTGGCCTCCTGGGCAGTACTGGAGACACAGTCGGCAAGGCAGCCGCGTCGGCTACACCCAGCCATCTCCTGGTCTTCCTGGGCAAGGCAGCGAGGAGGCGTTCAGACGTGGGTTCTACAGACTCCTCCTGGCTGCTGTCTTGTGGGTCTTGGCGGGATCTGCTGAAGAGGTGGCGGCCGTCTGGCCTGCAGATGGGCAGTGGAGACAGAGGGGGAGAAGATGGGTTTGAGAAACGATGGGATCCGCTGAAGAACTGAATGTGGGCGGTGAAGGAGATGGAGGAGACCCTGAGCTGGGGGCGGGAGGGCAGGGGCGGGCAGTGGCGCCAGCGAAAGCCAGGGAGTGCAGGAGGGGCAGGAGCTCCTTGTATGCTGATATCCACGTGGGCTTGTGGGAGGGAAGGCCAAAGGAAACAGCGGAGCCACGCAAGCCCGGCCCAAGGTGAGGGCAGGGGCGGGGATACCTGTGCGAATCGGACACTGCGCATGCTCGTTCCCGGGGTTGGCACAGCTCTTGTTGCGCCCCATTGATTTCATCCCCAGAACCTTTCCCGATGGTCACAGCTGGGAGTGGGGAGACACGAACGTGGCCCAGGTAGGGTTCCCCGCCTTCACTGCTGTGGGGCTCCCCTTCACCGGGGGATTGGACGTGTGGCAATGGCATTGCAGGCTCGGGAAGGGAGGGTGCCCGTGTGGTTTTCAGAGCCCGGGTCGGGGCACACGCGGGAGAGGGCCGCTCTGGGAAAAGGGCGCTGCAGCTTGCGGAGCTGACTGCAGGCCAGGACCTTGCCGTGGAGAGTGAGAGACAAGAAGGAACTGAGAACCCCGGCACAGCGAGCCCCTAGGAGGTGCCCGTTCATTTGCTGTCACTGCTGTAGCGGTCACAAACGAAACGGCTTACAGCACCAACTTATTTTCTTGCAGTTCTGGTGGTCAGAAGCCTGAAACTTGTCTCCCTGGACTCAGGTCAAGGTTCGTCAACCCTGGTGCCTTCCAGAAGCCCTGAGGGGAGAATGGTTTTGCCATTTTTAGCTTGTGGGGACTGCACGTAATCCTCGGTGCGTGACTTCTCCCTGTGCTGCCCTTCAGTCTCTGCTTCCGCCCCACATGGCCTTCCACTGTGACTGCGCCCTCTTAGGAGGACCCCTGTGATCACACTGGGCACACCCGGGACAGTGCAGGGTAATCCACCATTGTCCCACTGCAGAATCCCTCCCGCTGCACAGTGCCATTCATGGGTCTTTTTACTTTTATTTTTTATTTTTATTTGAAAGTCAGACCCAGAGAGATAAAGAGATGGAGAGGCAGAGAGAGAGCTTCCATCCGCTGGTGAGCTCCCCAGGTGGCCGCCATGGCCAGGGCTGACCAGGCCCTGGGAATGAAGTCTGCCTTGCCTACAGCTTCTCGCAGTGCCCGCCAGGGGGAGCAGCTCCTCGCCCGGGTGCTGCGGGCTCCTAGCTGCCTTGCTCCTGGCTCCCATCACCTGCACCCACGTTCCCCTCCCGGATCAGCTCCGGTGTCCTAGGATCGCTCTTGAGAATTAAAGGAAGCAGTACGTATGGATTGCCTACTTAACAGTAGACACTCAGAAGTGCAAGCTCGTTAGTAACTCGTTCATATAAAGAGCAACTCAGGGAAGCTGCTTTAGCAGGGTGGTGCGGGAGTGGCGCGCTGAGGAGCAAATACAAGCAGCAGGATCCCCTAAACTTGCTAGAAGGAAGCTCAGAGGTGCAGCAGCAGGGAGGCGATCAGTAAGAAGCACCGACATGGAAACCGAGCAAAGAATGCGTGTACCATCACACCCCTAGTGAGGAGAGCCATCAGCGGCTCCGCACCTTCCGGAAACAGTGAAAGGTCTGAAACTCAGGTCCAAGTGCGCTCAGCGCCTCGGCAGGGCGCCTCTTAAAAATGCACGCTCACATCGCTCCTGGGTGCTGAAAACCAAAGGGGAAGAGGCCCGTTACACAGGGAGGAACAAGGATAGGACTTACATGCTTAAAGGGCCGGATAAATAAAATAAAACCCGTCAACCCAAAACCTGCATTGTGGAAATCTCTCTCACATTTGAAGGCAAAATATGGATGTTTTCAGGCAAACAAGAGCCAGCAGACTTGTGTGTATGAAACATATAGAAAGAATGATATCCAATAACAATGCCACACAAATGCATTAGAACTCCAGAAATGGTCAAAGTAAAGGCTTTTACTTAGATACTTAGTTATATTAAGATACTAATATACTTAGATACTAAGATAACTTAATTTTATTCATGTCAATGATTACAAAAGGTGGCTAAAGAAAAATAGTAACAATGAAACTATTATATACTGTTGTAAGGTTCTTGATGATTCATGGCAAAATATAGTATTTAATAACATGCTGTTAAAAATTAAAGATTAATATTGTAAACCCCAGGGGGATAATTACAATTTTTTGAAAGAGGAATATAACATCAGTATTGGGACACAATTGGGATCATAAAAAAATTCAATCCAAAGACAAGCAGAAGAAAAGGAAAAGAAACAAAGTTGGAATACAACTAAGAAAACTAGATTTAAATCAAATTCTATCAATGATTACACTAAATGGTCTAGACACACAAATTAAACAATATTCAGACTGGACTAAAAGCAACATTCTGTATTCAAGTTCACCTTAAAGATAAGATCTCTTAACTTGGTTAAAAAGGGAAAAGATGGAAAGAGATAAACTGTGCCAACACTAATGAAAGAGAGCTGGATAGGCTATGTTAATGTTGAACAAAATAGAATTCATTTAAAATATTACCAGCATAATGACAAAGGAGAAAATTCACCAAGAAGACAAAGCAATCTAAAAAATGTATGCAACTAATAATAGAACTTCAAAATACATAAGGCAAAAATGAATAGAACTAGGACTGAAAGAACAAATAGATAAATTCACAATTATAATTGGGGACATCAACACTTTCCTCTCATTGATTGTTAGAACAAGCAGAAAGAGGATTAGTACCTGCATGGAGACCAGAGCAAAACTCTCAATTCAGTTGACCCTACTGGCATATGTAGAACATCCCACCCAGAGTTTGCATCATTTTCAAGTGCACATGGAAGAGTCACCAAACTTATTCTGCATTGTAAAACAAGCCTCAACAAATCAAAAAGAATTACTCTCATACATAACACATACAGGCTACAAATTGCAAAAAGATGCCTGAAAACCCATAACTATCTGGGAATTAACAAGTGTCTAAATAACTCAGGGTCAAAGAGAATTAACAGGAAAATTAAAGTTATTTTGAATTGAATGAAAAGAAAATCACACAAATCAAAATGTATAGGATTCAATTAGAACAGAACTTTTAATAATAAGAATGTTTTAATAAAAATTGTTTATAATAGAAAATGAGTCCCATATAAATTAACTTAACCTTCTACCTTGTAGAAAAAGGAGAAGAAACTAAATTTGAAGCAAGTAGAAATCAAGGAAATTGAAAGCAGGAAAACACAAAGAGATCAAAATCTGGTTCCTAGAAAAGATCAAAATAGCAAAAAGAATATGCATGGAGCAGGCACATACCTAGCAGTTAAGACACCCATATCCCACATCAGAGTATCTAGGTTCTATTTCTAGCTCTGGCTCTGACTCCAGCTAATGCAGACCCTGGGATGCAGTAGTGATGGTTCAAGTAATTGGGTTCCTGTGACTCATGTGGGAGACACAGACTGAGTAGGGCTCCTGCCTTTGGCACTGGCCTAGCTCCAACTGTTGCTGGTATTTGGGGAATGAATCAGCAGATGTGAGCTCTGTCCTTGTCTACCTCTCAAAGTCTTTAAAAAATGAAATAAGAGTATCCTTTTTTCTTACTCACATGAGAGTACACTGCTAACACGATGCAACACCATTCCCCGATACTTGGGTGGGTAATTCCTGTAGACAAGAATGTTCATACCTAATTATTATAAAGCCATCAATTAGAAAATTAACATGGATGCATTATTATTAGCTGGTCTACAAAGTTTATTCAAATTTTGCCAATGGACTCAATCATGTCCCTTATATAAAAAAGGAACTCGGGTATCCAAGTTGCATTCAGTTTTCATGTTTATTTAGTCATCTTTCATATGAAACACTCCCTCCATTTCTTCTTGTCTTTCAGGACTCAGATGCACATGGAGCAGCCACTTTGTGTAGTAGTCTTCGTCTTGGGTTTGTCTGGTGCTTCCTTGTGGTTACAGTCAGGCTATGCAGTGTTGTTGAGAATATCACAGAAGTGAAGTTCTGTTCTTCCTATCACGCCCTGTCAGGTGGTATATAACTTTGATGGGTTACTGGTGATGTTAAGTCTATTTGGATAAAATCATTGTCTACCAGTTCTCTCCAAGTAAAGTTACTCTTTCCCAATACATGATAATGAAACATGAGACCTTGAAAGGTTGCTGCCATATGATTTCATTTCCATAACATTCCTGAAATGACAAAACTATAGAAATGGAGAGCAGCTGAATGATTGGCAGAGTGTAAGGAAGGGAGAGGGCAGAGGAGGCCGTGGGTGGGTGCAGCCCCCCACACAGCACAGGGGCTCTGGTGGTGATGGGACAGCGTCGAGTCAGTATCCTGCTCGGGACATCATACCACAGTGGTTCACACTGCAGGGACCCGAATAAACCACACATGGGCCAAAGACATCAGTAGGAAGGATAATTAAGTCTCCAATACATGGGGGCGGGCTTAGCAGGTAAAGCTGCCGCCTGCAGTGCTGGCATCCCATAGGGGCGTTGGTTTGAGTGCTGGCTGCTCCACTTCCAGTCCAGCTCTCTGCTATGGCCTGGGAAAGCAGTGAAGATGGCCCAAGTGCTTGAGTCCCTGTACTCATGTGGGAGACCAGAAGAAACTCCTAGCTCCTGGCTTCAGCCCAGTTCTGGTCGTTGTAGCCATTTGAGGAGTGAACTAGAGGATGAAAGACTCATTCTCTCTCTCTCTCTGCCTCTGCCTCTGCCTCTCTGTAACTCTGCCTTTCAAATAAATAAAAAAATCTTTAAAAAGAAGAGTCTTCAATACACTGAACAGTGATGGGCATTTGGCACAGCAGTAGCAACACCTATTGGGACGCCTGCATTCCATATCAGAGTGCCTGGATTCAAGTCCCGGCTTCACTCCTGACTCCAGCTTCCTGCTCATGTGCAACCTGGGAAAGATTGTGAAGGCTCAAGTGCTCGGGTCTCTGACACCCATGTGGGAGACCCAAATGGAGTTCTGGCTTCCATGGATTTGGGGAGTGAACCAGCAGATGGGAGGTCTCTCTCTCTCTCTGAAATAAACTATTTTTTAAAAAAGATAAATTTATTTTAAAAATTAGCAAATGAAATCCATCAATGTTCAGAAAGAAGTAAACATGTGTGCAAGGTGGGGTCAACATTCAGAAATCAATGCACCCTGTCAGTAAGCTAAAGAAGAAGAATCACATGATCTTATCAATTGATGCTGAAAAGCACTGGACGGGCTGGCGTGTCGCAGGGAGTTCAGCTGCCGCCTGCATTGCCGGAATCCCATATCGGAGTGCTGGTTCGAGTCCCAGCTGCTCCTCTTCTGACTCAGCTCCCTGCTAATGTGCCTGTGAAGCAGTGGAAGATGGTGCAAGTGCTTAGGCCCCTGCCACTGCTCTGGGGAGCCTGGGATGGAGGTCCTGGTTCCTGGCTTCAGCTTGGTCCAGCCCCAGCCATGGGACCATTTGAAGAGTAAATCAGCACATGGAAGATTCTCTCTCTGTCTCAAGCTACTTCCAAATAAATAAATCTTTTTGCAAAGGAAATGCACTTTAAAAAATTCAGCTCCCATTTGTGATAAAAAAAAACTATTAAAAACTGGAAATGGTGAGGAACTTCCTCAGTTATGATAAATAACATCTATGGATAACCTAGAGTTGGCATCACACTTAATGGTGAGAGACTGGATACTTTCTCCTTAAGGCTGGGAATTTGGCAAGGATGTCCTCCTTAGCAGCTAGGGCAAGAAAACAAGAAAATTAAATAGAAGGTATGTAGGTAGGGAAGGAAGAAGGGAAACAGCTTTATTCACAGGTGATGAGATTGTCTACAAAGCTGTGGATTCCGTGAAATTATAACATTCTAAGAGGTTTAATTTATTTTTTTGAAAGAGAGAAAGAGAGGGGTGGGGGGCACCTATTTACTGCTTTACTTCTCAAATGCCTGCAACACCGAGGACTGGGCCAGGCTAAAGCCAGGGTCCTGGAACTCAATCCGTGTCTCCCACACGGGTGGCAGGGCTCCAGTGCTCGATCCATCACCTGCTGCCTCCAAGGGTGATTATTTGCAGGAAGGCAGAATGGGGAGCAGAGTCAGGACTTGGGATGCAGGCACCCCAGGCTGTGCCCCCCCCGCCCACTGTGGCAAGTACCCAGCGCCATGAGAAAAGCTTTTGCAGATGATTCTAAAACATACAAGAGTGATTAAAGATTATTTATAGCCTAAGATAGGAGAGAGCTCCCTGGCCCAGATATTAGAACTAAATAATTCAGAGGGCGTAGCACCATTCGAGACAGAGAGATCGACTAAGGGGAGAGAATGCAAGCCCACACACAGGCCACGCGTGTGGAGAGCGTTGCTACGTGACCGGTGGGGAAGGAGGGCAGGCTCAGCAAGCATCTTCTAATGGTTATCCGCGTGTCACAAGATAAAACTGGACAATAACTCATACTTCGTAAAAACCCAGATGAATTACGAGCTCACACATTGAAAACAAAACTTTAAAATTCTAAATAGAAAATATAAGAAGAGATTTCCTAAGGCAGACCAAACAACAGCTATTAAATAAAAAGCTGATAAATATGAATATATTAAAATTTAAAATATTTGTTTATCAGGGACTGATGCCAAGCCCCTGATGCTCGACTTACAATTCAGCTCCTTGCTAATGCGCTGGGAAAGCAGCAGCAGATGGCCCAAGTGCGTGGGCTCCTGCACCCGTGTGGGAGACCAGGACGGGGTCCAGGCTCCTGGCTCAGCACTGGCTGTTGTGATATTTGGGGAATGAACCAGAAGATCAAAGATCGATCTCTTTCTCTCCCTCACTCCCTCTCCCTCTCCCCCCACTTCTCTCTGTAACTCTACCTTTCAACTCAGTAAATAAATCTTAAATAGGATGTGTTTACCTAAATGACAAGCTAAATTTTGAGAAAAGAAATTTATATTATTTGCCACCATGAGTCTATAAAAGCATCTTCAAGTGCATATGAGAAGCACAAAAAACGCTGTAGAGAAATGGGCAAAAATTAAGACCTAGCTTTTCACGGGTGAGGAGATGCCTGTGAGTAGAGATGTTGGACGTCAGTGATCAGGAAATGCCAATCAAGACTGGAACAAGGCAGCATTTTACCACCTGGCAAAGGATAAGAAGTGTGACCACCCCCAGTGTCAGGGGATGAGGATCCATGGGTGCCCCCTTGTTCCTGGGGGGAGTGCAGATTGGTGTGATTGTTCTGGTAAAAGGTTCACATACTCTGAGCCCCAGGGGTCCCTCTGGCTGTGCTGAGTCTGTGGGAAAGAGAGTGGGGATAGAGAGCCCCAGGCCATCCAAGGGGCTGGCTGTGGCCGGGGAAAGTAGCTGCTCCGTTCAGGAGGTGTCTGAGTCAAGAAAAGACTAGAACAAGACCTCTGTGTAAAGTGGTATCTAAATGGCCAGTAGACCCAATAAAACAGCTCAACCCAGAAAGTCATTAGGAAAACCCTGGCGCCACCAGGCAGTACCACTGCACACACAATAAAACAGCTACAATGTGGAAGACACACAGACCAGCGTTCTCAAAGATGCCTTGTGAACATACAAATGCGCTACCACTTTGGAGGACAATATGGTTTCCTCCTGTGAGTCCCAGCCATCCCATTCCCAGGTGTGTACCCAGCGAAGGTGCCCTGAGAGACGCATCCGAGAATGTTCTCAGCACCACACTTCAGAGTAGCCAGGGACAGTGGGCAGCCCGCATGCTGCATTCACACGGCGAGAACAAAGGCTCGCAGCAGGGATGGCTCTCACACACATGGCCTTGAACCCAAGAAGCCAGTCTCAAAAGAGCACAGACTGCACGATTCACTTCTTTTTTTTTTTTTTTTAATTTTAAAAAATACTTATTCATTTATTTGAAAGAGTTACACAGAGAGAGGAGAGGCAGAGAAAGAGAGAGAGGTCTTCCATCCTCTGGTTCACTCCCCAGTTGGCTGCAACAGCTGGAGCTGCACCGATCCAAAGCCAGGAGCCAGGAGCCAGGAGCCAGGAGCCAGGAGCTTCCTCTAGGTCTCCCATGTGGGCGCAGGGGCCCAAGGACTACGGCCATCTTCTACTGCTTTCCCAGGCCATAGCAGAGCTGGATTGGAAGTGGAGCAGCTGGGTCTTGAACTGGCGCCCTTATGGGATGGTGGTACTGCAGGTGGCGGCTTAACCCACTTACGCCACAGTACTGGCCCCCACGATTCACTTCTTATATAGATCAGGACCAGCTGGGAAGGGTGTGGACCTACTCGGGGGAGCTCGGTGATTGGCAAGGAGCCAGGGGCTGCTGGCAATGGTCTGTTTGTTGATTCATGTGGTGACAACACGGGGTGGCCCCTGTGTGAAAATGCCCCCCTGTGTTTGATACACTGCAGATTTTGGCCTGAGCAACATGGTAAACAGTTACCTTTGCTGAGATGGCAATGAGCAGAGAAAGAACCAGAAAGGGGAAATGAGATTCAGTTTTGAACATGTTATAAGGGGTGGCCATCAGCATTCAAGTGCGGAAGTCAAGTAGCCGCCTGGACGTTCAAGTTCAGAGCTCCAGGGAGAAGGCAGAGCTGGCCACACAGACCAGGAGTCCTGACTGTGCAGACAGCATACAGGGCCATGAGCCTGGATGTGATCAGCAGGGGAGTGAATGCAGAGGGCAGAGGTACCGAGGGGTGGAGGTGGCGGCGGGCTCAGACAGTCTGAGCATGAAGGAGACCACGAAGGAGCCCCCAGGCAGCTGGGGAGAAAACCAGGAGAACGTGGTGCCTGGTGGGCCAGCAGCAGCTGTTGAGAACTGACCCCTGGACCTAGCGACACCCACGTCACTGGTGAACTCGTCGAGGGCAGTTTTGTGGAGTGGTGGTGTCGGCAGTGTGTGGGCAGGGAGGACCCACGGCGGGTGAAGACAGGAGGGTGTGCAACATAGCCAGCTCATTGAGTTTGGCTGTGCAGCTGGACAGAGAAATGGGGCAGGCGGTGGAGGAGGGGGTGGGGCCAGGATTTTTATATGAGAGCCACGACAGTGTATTTGTGGGGAGGGAAGAGTAGACATGGCAGGAGAGAGAGAGGGGGGACAAGAGCTGGAGCCAGGTCCTGGAGTAGGTGAAGGGGGTGGGATTGCCGAGCCCCACCTGTCAAGAGAGCGAGCAGTTGGTTGGAAGGGCAGCTGCAAGCAATCAGAGAGAGGCAGCCTGGCCGATAAGGGGCTGCCGGGAAAGCTGATAAATGCCGTAGGGCTCTTTCTCCTCCTCCTTCCTTCGGCCAACCCCAGCACCAACTCAAAGGTTCCTTCTGGGAAGTAGGGCCCTGCCTGGGTTGGGGCAGGGAGGCCTTGGCACCAGCCTGGGCAGTTTGGCCCCCTCCCAGGCAGCTTCAAGCAGACACAAAGCCCGGTGGGGGCCTGGCCACACAGCGGGGGCGCCGGGAAGACGGGCACCATGGTGGAGCTGGCACCCTTGTCTGTGCCATGGGAGCGCAGGCTGCAGACCTTCGCGGTCCTCCAGTGGGTCTTCTCCTTCCTGGCCTTGGGTAAGGCAGGCTGCGGGCAGGCGGGAGGCCCCAGGCACGGGGCGCGGGGAGGGCCCGAGCAGCCTGGCCAGGTGCACGCCGCACGCTGATGGTGAATGGCTGTGTGCTGACCGGACTCTGCTGCAGTCACAAAGCTCTCAGTTGCCCTGGGGGTCTCTTGGGCCTGCGCAGAAGCCTTCTGGGCAGCAGGTGGGCATCGTGTGGCCTTGGGCAGGTCCTTAGCTTTCCACCCATGCCTAACCTTTCTGGGCCTCTACTTGAGCATCTGCAGAATGGGGACGGCAGGGTTGTTGTGGGTGAAATGAGGCACTGTGATTACTCCTGGCCTGGCCCCTGCGCAAGGCTCACACAGGAGGGCACGGTCTCTCCCTCACGCCGTCTGTAGATCTGTGCCCAGGGAGGAGATCACCTTTGCCCAAACTCCAGCTCCCCTCGAGGTGACATTTTGGAGGAGAGCTATGGACCTGGGTTCCAGCTCCCTGCTAATGCACACCCCGGGAGGCAGGAGATGATGGCTCAAGTGCTTGGGCCCCTGTCACCCATGTGGAAGACCCAGATGGACCTCCTGTCTCCTGGCTTCAGCCTGGCCCAGCCCCAGCTATTGTGGGCATTTGGGAAGTAAACCTGCTAATGGGAACTGTGTGTATGTGTGTGTGTATTTCTCTGTCTCTCTTTCAGATGCATTTAAAAAAAATTGTTTAAAAAAAAACCCACAAAGTGCCCTCAGCACAACCTTGGACAGTTGGCTCTGGGTGGGCAGGGATTGTCTGTTCACCGCTGAACCACTAGCGCCTGGCACGCTGCGGGTGCTATTTGTAAATCGTGGGCAGAAAAGGGTCTCCCTTCTCCCTGAGATCCCAAGACACAGAAACTAGAACAGTGACTCAGTCTGCTGTCACCATTTGTGGAGCACCTGCTGAATGCAGACTGCTGCACGGTTTGCGGGGTGGGCGTGGGGAGGGCCACGCAACCTGATGCGGTGGATTTAGTGAGCTGGGGCTCATGCCCATGCTGCCTCCCCCTCGGCGCCCCCAGCTCCTCCACGAGGGCGCAGGAAGCGAATCTCCTCCTCCTCCCAGGGTCGAGGGTTGGGCAGGACGGGGCTGCCCTCAGTCTCCCGCCTTCTCTGACGGCTCTGCTGTGCTCCCCAGCCCAGATCTGCTTTGTGGCGTTCATCAGCCTCCTGTTCACGAGATTCTGGGTCTTCGCTGTCCTGTATGCGACCTGGTGGTACCTGGACCGGGACAAGCCGCGGCAGGGCGGCAGGCGCAGCGAGGTCTTCCGCCGCGGGGTGATATGGAAGTACATGAAGGACTATTTCCCCGTCTCTGTGAGTGTCGCCGGTTGGGCTGCCGGCTGGGCTGCGGGGTGGGGCTGGCTGGCGCGTGCAAGACCCTGGGCGGTGCTCCTTCGTGGCCTGGGACAGACCAGCTTCTCTCTGTCCTGGTCTTACCGTCTACAGGGATGTGGAGGGAATGAGGACCAAGGCATACGCAGGCTTTGCAGGGGCTCTGGGGCACAGATAGGTGTTTAAATTTTTTTTAATGGGTTTATCTGAAAAGCAGAGAAACAGAGAGGCAGATAGAGAGCGAGCTTCCATCCACCGGTTCACTCCCCCAAATGCCCAGAGCAGCCAGGGCTGAGACAGGTGGAAACTAGGAGCCCAGAACTCCATCCGGGTCTCCCAAGTACTTGAGCCATCAGAGCAGCCTCCCAGCGTGCATCAGCGGGCAGCTGGATCGGAAGCGGCACTCAGACCCGGCACTCTGGTATGGGATGCAAGTGTCTCAGACGGCGACTCAACTGCTGTGCCAGGTGCCCGCTCCCCCGACATGTTTCTTAAAGACACAAACCCATCCGTGTTTGAGGCTCAGAGTGAAGGCATTGAACTCACTGGTCCTCCGCTTACATTCATCCCACCATAAGACTGAACGTGCAGAGAAGGACAAGGATGCGGTCCCACCCTGCCCACAGCAAGTTCTTTTACCAATTTTAAAATGCGTGCATTAGCGTGGCTGAAGGGACAGGGGAGAGAGCCTGAGCCGGCCTTGATTTCTCTGCTGTGTGTCCTCACACAAGGCTTTGTCCCATTCAGAGCCTCAGTTTCCCCATGGCCCTGGAAGCAGATGGGTCTCCCCAAGTCTTGGTGCCGCCTACCATCCGGCTCCCTGGCTCAGGACACCATGTGGTCCTCGTCAGCCACTGGCCCTGGGCCTGAAGGCCAGGCCTGGATCTGAGCGAGCGGACCCTTGGGCTCCCTCACCTGCCCCAGCTTCCCCCAGCAGACTGAAGGCCTGGACCAAGCTGCCAGGTGGCCAGAAGGGAGGGGGTGGGGGGAGCAGGGTCTGCACTGGGAAGAGGAGAGAGGGAGGGCATGGAGCGGGGTGGCCTCCAGAGCCACGCAGGTTGGATCCTCGTGTGTGACCTCGGGGAAGCCCCCAGTCCCTGGAGCCTCAGTTTCCTGATATGCAAAGCGGCAATAAAGCCACTTATCTCCCTGGGCTGTGTGGATTCAAGGAGACACCACAGGTCAAGCGCCTTGCAGGTTCTCAGTGCTGTTTCATGGAGTCAGCACCTGAGAGCCAGGAGCCCTCCCATGCTGTCTCCCTCTCCTACCCCCCGGGAGCCCTGCCATGCTGTCTCCCTCTCCCACCCCCCAGGAGCCCTGCCATGCTGTCTCCCTCTCCCACCCCCCAGGAGCCCTGCCATGCTGTCTCCCTCTCCCACCTCCCAGGAGCCCTGCCATGCTGTCTCCCTCTCCCACCCTCCCAGGAGCCCTGCCATGCTGTCTCCCTCTCCCACCCCCCAAGAACCCTGCCATGCTGTCTTCCTCTCCCACCTCCCCGGAACCCCGCCATGATAACTTCCGCTCCCACGGACACAGGGGCCCAACACTGTGTACTACCCCGCGCAAACCCAGGAGATGGACTCCCGAGTGGTCCCCTCCCGAATGTCTCAGGACCCCATAAAAACTAGATATGCGGGTAACCCCACACAGCGTGGGATCCCGTGCCAAGGCCGAAAGATGGCGGTATGAGGCGAGAACTCTTTACGAGGATTGTGTGGATGAGTATATTTTGAAAGGACCTGGGCCTCCAGCGGGGGCTGCCCGGCCCTCACCTGTGCCGCCTCTGCAGAGCTCCCCCCCCCCCCGGCTCTTGTCAGTAGCCGTGGGCACAGACCTGTCCTCTCACTGGGACCTTTGGGCTTGGAGATTCCAAACTCCTTTTCTTGCCTCTTCTCTCTCCAGCCTGGGGCTCCCTCTTTTTTTCCCCCTAAAGATATATTTCATTTATTTGAAAGGCAGAGAGAGAGAGAAAGCCCAATCTTCTGTTGTGTTCTAGATTGCCCAGAGAGAAAGAACCAGCGAGACGCACCGAAATGCAAAGAACAAAGGGACTTTATTTGTAGGTCCAGCATGCTGGGGCCCCAGCCTCCCATGCAGCGCAGTGCTGGGAGACCAAGACCCCCTTCTCTTTGTTCTTGGGGGTTTTTATAGTTCCCTGGCAAACAAGTATTACGCTCGCATTCCTTTCTTCCCCTGGCCCTGCAGGACCAGGGACGGCCCACCTTATTGGTTGCCTCCACCTGGTCTTGCAGACTGCACCAAGGACTGCCCGGTGTCAGGTTTCATCTTCTCATACCAGGCGCATCCTGGGCCTAGTCAGTTTTTTTGTCTTGTAAGAAGCCTGTCATGGTGTGGCATGACAGGCAGAAATGGTGTTGGGACAGCTCTGTGCCTACCAGACCTGCTGTCCTTGCAGTGGCTCCCAGGGAGGGTCTTCTCAGTGCTGACACCATTGACATTGGTGAGATAGTGGACTTAACTGGCACAGGTTTTTTGTTTTTTTTTTTTTTTCATTTTTTTTAATTTGAAAGGCAGACATACACACAGAGAGAGAGAGAGAGAGAGAGAGAGAGAGATCTTCCCTCTGTTGATTCACTCCCCAGATGGCTGGGCCAGGCTCAAGTCAGGAGCTAGGAACTCCACCTGGGTCTCCCACACAGTGGTAGGGGTCCAAGTTCTTGAGCCATCATCTGTTTCCCAAGATGTGCATTAGCAGGAAGCTGGATCAATAACAGAGCAGCTGGAACTAGAACTCAAGCACTCCAATATAGGATGCAGGTGTCACAAGTGGCTCCTATTTGCAGAAGTTGGATGTGCCTGGTTTTTCAGGATTATCATGGCACCGAGCCATTGCCACACCACCTATCAAAGGTAGGCAGTACCACCGAGTGGCCAGCAGAGGGCGAGATGACACGCAAAGTTGGCTTTGCTGGTCCTGGACTGGGAGCCTTTAGGAGGGCTGCGTGCAGACTCCATTCCCAGCAGGAATCTTGGGTGAGCAGAAGGCTGCAAGTCCCAGCTCCATCAGGCTCCCCTGCCTTCACAAGCCCACGCACTCCACTGTCAGGTGCCTGCGCTCATCTGTTGATTCCCGAGCATCTGTGGGTCCTCTTGTGATTCTGTGAACCAGCTCCTAGTGGTGGAATTCAAGCAAAATCAGGAAAATGTTTCTAGGCCCTGGCACTCCCTGAAGTCACCCTGTGGGCTTCCTAGAGAGCTGTGGCCACCTCCGGCTGAAGCCCCCTCTGCCCTTGGAGGGGGCTGGGGAGCCTTCACAGTGATTACGTCATCAGTTGGAGCAAACACTGCCTCCCCAGGCCAAGGCCTTCCTAGGAGCAGCTGGGCGCTGTGGCTGGGGCTGTGACCGTGTGGTCACTGTCATGGCCAGGCTTGGGGCTGTGCAGTACACCCCTCTGACCTCACCCAGGCTTGGGACAAATTCTCAGCTCCTCTGCAGCTTTCCAGGACTCACTCGGGACAGTGCCAGACCCTCTGCCCCCACCCCACGGGTCTTTGTTTTTGTTTTGTTTTGTTTCAAGATTTGTTTATTTAGAAGAGTTACAGGGAGAGAGGGAGAGACACACAGAGAGATCTTCCCTTTCCCTCTCTCACGCCCCCTGCAGGCAATGGCAGAGTTTGGCCCCATCATCTGGGTGGCTGTGGGTGGTCACTCGACCCCTCAGCTTACTGGGACTGCCACAGCTCAGCAGCCCCCTGGGGAGAGGGCTCTGAGAGGGTTAAGCAATCTGGCTCTGCTGTAGGAGGGGACAGGGCGTTTGCTGGGAGACAGGGCTGGACGGGTGTGGTGGGGAGCTCACGAGCACTCCTCTTGCTCAGCCCAGCCCCAACACCCTCTTCCCGAGAGCCCCAAGGGTGCTGTGCTCTTCTGGGCAGGAACTGGGCAGGCGCCTGGGCTTTGCAGCCCGGCTGCCCGTCCCCAGGAGGACTAAAATGCCTCCACTGAAAGCTTGTACACGGCGGGCAGGGCCACGTCGTTTGTAGCAGCAACAGGATGGAAGGGACACCGGTGTCCATCGACTGAGGAATGGACAAACAAAACGTGCTTTGTCCACGTGCTGGGGTAGTATTTGGCCATGAAGAGACACAAAGCTCTGACAGCAATGAGCCTTGACAGGGCCACGCTAAGTGAGAGAAGCCAGACCGAGAAGGCTGTGTACTGCAAGATCCCATGTATAGGAAATGTCCAGAAACAGGTGAACTCACAGAGAGAGGGTGGAGGGTGACTCCTAGCAGATGTAGGCTTCTCTGTGGAGTGTTGAAAATGTTCTGGAATTAGATGGTGGTGTGAATTACAGAATCATTTAAATATATTCAAACCACTGAACTGGTTTAAAAGGGTGGATTTTATGGTGTGCAAATTACATCAATTAAATAAAAAATCCAGCCATCCCCAGAGCCTGGCAGCCCGGCATCCCCTTCCCTAGCCCCACTTGATGGCACCACGCTCAGCTTGCAGGTACGTACCTGGCTGGGGTCTCCCAGGCCCCTGTCTGTCTTGGCCCAGGCTCGCTCCTCTCCCCTGAGCACAGCCCTCACACAGCTCCCCTTCCTCCTGGCTCACCTTGCATGAACCCTGCAGCAGTCCAGGGAGGGGTAGTCCCTGCCCTGGGGGACTGAGGGACCACTGAGGCAAGAAGGGGTCAGGGGCCTGGGAAAGGTCATGTGTGAGCCAGGGTCAGAACCCAGACGTCCCAGCTCCCAGCTCAGGGTTCTCCCTACCGCTGGTAGGACCTGGGGGATGTGTGGACGGCGCTGGGCTCCAGGGGCCTCCCTCCGAGGCAGCTGGTCTGCCCCATCTGTTGGCTGCATCGCTCCCTCCCTCCATCCCACATTCATTCCAGAAGTCTGCTCGGCTCCAGGCCTGCCCTGGGGAGATCCGCGGTCTCCAACCTGTGCACTGATGGCCTTGGGCGCTGGGGATGGGTACAAGAGGTTAGCACAGGAACAGACGGGGAGGCCACGTCTGGGGAGGTGTCAGGAGCATGCAGATGGTGTCAGGATCTTGTGCAAATCTCGCCTCCCTTGCCCACACACGGGCGCCCACAGCATTTCATGGCGCACCTCCCTCGTCGCCGTCCACAAGGTGCCGGTCCCGGAGGGTCGAGTGGGTCCACATTCCAGCAAATCACAGTTGTGGTGGGCCCGCCTCATCTTGCCCCTGCTTCCCCACCTAACAGGCTGTCCCCACCTGTCCCAGCCAGGACAGCAAGAGCTGCATGGTGCTCCCTGGTGCACCTGTTTCATAATTCATCTAAACTGGCCCTGTGGGTGGACAGCTGAGTGGATGCTGAGGCTTTGATATTGCCAGAAAATGATGCTCCTGCCAAGACGCTTGTTCAGATGTCATTTTGCACAAGCCTGAGACTTCCTGGAGGCTGCAAGTTCAGTTTTGTTTTTCAGTTTTGCCACATATTGTGCCCTTCCAGGGATACAAAACTCCATTGCAATGAAGGGAAACTTATTTCAGTACATTGAGCAACATATGGTTTTAAATTTTTTGAATATTTATTTATATATATATATGAGAGAGAGAGAGAATGAACTTTCACTTACTGGTTCACTCCCCAAATGGCCACAACAGCCAGGGCTGGGCCAGGCTGAAGCCAAGAGCTTCCTCCAGGTCTCCCACGTGGGTGCAGCAGTTGGGCCGTCCTCTGCTGCCTTTCCAGGCCCATTAGCAGGGAGCTGGACTGGAAGCAAAGCAGCCAGGACTCCAAGTGGTGCTCCTGTAGAGGATGCTGGTGCTGCCGCTGTGGTTAACCCGCAGTGTCCAACACCGGCCCCCAGGTATGGCTTTAAAGAAACTACCACATGGGCTCCTCGCGCAGTACCTGTCATGGTGAGAGTAACCAGAGAGTTATCAGCTCTGTCTATGTTTTCATGTCTGCATGTGGGGGAGGGGTCCTCCAGGCAGCCTCCAGCAATGGGTCAGGAGGTGCCTGGAGGGCAGGTGGGGGGTGGCATCTCCAGAGGCCACGTCCAGGCCAAGGACAGGAGAATGTGGAGCTGTCGGCCAGGCTGGGACAGACATGCTCAGAGCCACTGCTGCCTGCAGGCTGCCCTGAGGCTGGGCAGCAGGTGTCCAGGGTCCCAAAGGTGGGAATGGGGTCCTCAGGGAGTCGTTGGCTGGAGGGCTCCCCTTGATGCCAGAAGGGCAAAGCTGAGTCACAGTGCAAAGGGCTGGGGTGGGGGTAGGGCAAAGTGTAAGGCCCAAGAGCCAACCCCTGGGGCCCCTAGGCCTGGGGCTCCTGGGGCCGTGGGGCAGGGAACTGGTCCCACTTGCAAGCCCAGCAGCAGTGGTCATCTGTGCAGAATGGCCACACGGCAGAGCAGCCTGGCTCATGGTGGCTCCTGCCCTCCACCCTCCGCCAGCTCCCCTAGAAGCTGCTCCAGACGGTGGCCTCTGCAGCTCACTGTGCAGCCTGGGCTCGCTGTGGCGCCGGCCAGGCAGAGAGTGGACTCAAGGCCCTGAAGGCCTGGCGTGGACAGAGCAGAGAGCCGCAGCTGTTGATGGCACAGCCTGGGTTGTGTTCAAACAGGGCCCTTCCAGCTCGGGGGTGCCCCCGTGTGGCCCATTGCTGCCTCCCCACGTCACATGCGGCCCAGCAAGCCCCAGAGTCCACACACCGCACCCTGAGCAGCCCTGGGCGGTGGCGTGGCCAGGGTGAAAGCGTCCCATTTGACAGATGAGGAGCCTGAGCGGAGCGCACGGCGTCCAGAGCCAGCGCCCTGGCGCACACACCACGGCTCGCCTCTCGGAGGCACCTGGAGAGGCAGAGGCTTGCCCAGGGTCACCGGAGCGGGCGGCGTAGACTCAGCTCCCACTCACCACCTGCCGTCCCTGCAGCTCGTGAAGACCGCGGAGCTGGACCCCTCGCGGAACTACATTGCGGGCTTCCACCCGCACGGCGTCCTGGCCGCCGGCGCCTTCCTCAACCTGTGCACCGAGAGCACTGGCTTCTCCTCGCTCTTCCCGGGCATCCGCCCCCACCTGATGATGCTGACCTTGTGGTTCCGGGCTCCCTTCTTCAGGGATTACATCATGTCCGGGGGTGAGCCTGCCCGCCCTGGGGCGCTGGGAAGGGTGGGGCTGGGGGAGCAGATTGCGGTGGGGGTGGAGGCTGCTGACAGCCCTCCTTCTGGGGGGGGTGCTCCAGGAGGAGGAGGCTGGAATCAGGGGAGCACTTCTGCAGCACCTTGCGGGGCACGGGGGCCCACGAGAAGGTTGGCAAGGGGGGGGCAGACCCAGGGAACCGCAGCTGGTGCGGGGTGCGGTAGGTGCCAGGAGGCCTCGGTGGATGTGGCTGGTGGGCACTTTCAGCCTTGGGCCTTGCTCTCTCCTCCCCTCTGGTCCCCCAGTACTGACCCTCCGTCTTCTCTCTCCCAGGGCTGGTCACATCAGAGAAGGGGAGTGCAGATCACATCCTGAGCAGGAAGGGCGGCGGGAACTTGCTGGCCATCATTGTCGGGGGTGCCCAGGAGGCACTGGACGCCCGGCCTGGAGCCTACACGCTGTTACTGCGCAACCGCAAGGGCTTCATCCGACTCGCCCTGGTGCATGGGTAGCGACCGGGACTTGGGGGGAGGGGTCCCTGCCGGTGGGAGGGGTCTACTCCGGCAGGGGGTTCTCAGCCCTTTCACGTGATGTCTTACGTGTGAATGCTGAGAGAAGCTGAGACAAGGGGGATGGGGATGGAAGGGCCTGGGGGGAAGTGGACATGGTCACCAGAGACCGGGTGGGGGTGGTCTGGAGGAATGGGGTTCATTCAGGGGCCTGCTACAAAAACACATCCTCTCGCCTGGGGGTGAAGCGGCTTTGAGGAATAAGAGCCAGCTGGCGCAACAGGGATTTTTCTAGGAAAAAATAAAAGCAGGTGTTTTCTCTCCGGGAGGATGCTGGGAAGCACGGGGCAGACAACTGTGGCCCAAAGAGGGACCAAGGCCGTCTGGAGGATGACCCAGGCCTCTGGACTCGATCCTTGCTCCAGTTCCCGCTCCCTTCCTGTGCAAGGGCAATGACCTTTCAGCTTGTGCAGCCCCTGGGGCCTCCCCCAGCACCCTGTGCTCTGCTTCCCTCCAGGGCGGCCCTGGTGCCGATCTTCTCCTTTGGCGAGAACGACTTATTTGACCAGGTTGAGAACTCCTCTGGCTCCTGGCTGCGCTGTGTCCAGAACTGGCTGCACGGGATCATGGGCGTCTCCTTCCCACTATTCCACGGCCGCGGCGTCTTCCAGTACAGCTTCGGGCTCATGCCCTACCGGCGACCCATCACCACTGTGGGTGAGCGAGGTGGCGGCCTGGGAGGGGCAGGCTCCAGGGACAGCACCTGAGCCGGTGCCATAGGGGACTTGGAGAGGGCTGGACACACACCTGCTCTCCTGGTGCTCACACCTGAGACTGGGACACGCAGAGAACCCTTCTGGAAGGCAGCCTGGAACAGGAACTGGGAGTTGCTGCTGGTTGCCGGGCACCTGCTGAGTGCCAGGCCTGACCCGGCTCCCTTGCATGAAGCAGCCCAGCGCATCCTGACAATGCCCGAGGCAGGGGTTATGATCCCCATTTTGCTGACGGTAAACTGAGCCTAGAGAAGTTAAGCAGCTTCCAAGAACTCACTGCGCCTTTGAGTAACAAGGTTGAGGATTGAGTCAGGATTTGTCTGACTTCTCATTATGCCAGACAGGGGTTTAATTTTGCCCAAGAAGACAGAACAAGGCTGGTTTGGAGAAGCTGGATCCCGGGAAAGGGCACTCGAAATGACTTAAAACTGTGCCTACAGCACAAATCCTTGGGCTTGGGATTACAGCCTGAGGGGTTGTCAGGCCAGGGCTGGGCGGGAGCTTCAATGTGCACACTTGGCACCGTCTATGCAGCTCCCCAGACGCCCCCTCTGCTTTCTTCTTGGATTCTAGCAGGGTTCCTCCAACACGGTTGGCAGTGAGAGGCTCATTTGTCTCCCCATCCGTCACTGACTTGTTCTAGCTGAGCACAGGGTGGCCACCCCCGACATCGTGACCTTCCCTGGGTCATGTGGCAACATTTTCATGCTCCCTCCAGAGCTATCCCAGGAGGAAAGGATGGGGAGCTGCCTTCCCAGCCAGGCAGAACCAACAGAAGGAGGCTGATTCCTGTCCAAGGTGGTGGCGGTGAGAAGAGCTGCCTGGCTGTGAACTTGCTCCCTTCTAGAAATACAGGGCCTTGTAATCGGCTTAGATTCCCAGAATCACGTAGCCTGGAGGTGAAGAGCACACCACAGGGGTTTAAAATCTGGCACGGGTGCTTCCTGGCTACGTGACCTTGAATGAGTTTCTTAACCACTCTGAGCCTCATAGGCCGACCTGTCAAACAGGACGAATGAGAGGTCTTAGCACCCGAGGATTAAAGGAGACAGCACATGTGAGCACCTAGCATGTGGCCTGGCCTTCTGCGAGTCCACTTCCTGGAATCAGGACTGGAAGCGATGGCAGGAAGAGTTCCTTCCTCCGGGGGTGGGCCCCTGTGACCCAGCGGCTCCCATGCTGAACCACCGCCCGCCTCTCTGCCTTGCAGTGGGAAAGCCCATCGAGGTGCAGAAGACACTGCACCCCTCGGAGGAGGAAGTGGACCGGCTGCACCAGCGCTATATCAAGGAGCTGTGCAACCTCTTTGATGCCCACAAGCTCAAGTTCAACATCCCCGCTGACCAACACCTGGAGTTCTGCTGAGTCCCTCAAGGCAGAGGAGGGGCTGCCCCAGAGGCCAGAGCTGGTGCTAGGGAGCCCAGCTGGAGGCGCTGAGAGGGTGCATGCTTCGGCAGAGCCTCCCCCGACTCCTGCAAACCCAACCTGTGTCAGGCCCCCACTGGAGCTGGCATCGTGGAAGGAGAGAGCAGGCTCCCGCATGCGCAGAGCCTCCCTCTCTGTGCCTCTGTCTGCTCCTCTATGAGATGGAGAAGGGCTGGAAGAGAATGATTTCTGAGGTCTCTGTCCTCTGTTGTAAAGTTACTCAAACACGGCCCACTGAAATGTGGGGAAACCAGAGCCAGGTTTTTTTGTCCTCGAACCCTGAGTGACAGTGTAAAAAGTCACCAGCTCCAGCCCTCTCTCCTACCAGCTTCCCCACCCTGACCTGGAGGCCCCAGCTACTTCCTTCCCAAGCAAGTGAGGAGAGGTTGACCAGTAAGCCCCTGCACTGGCACTGGCCACCTCCATGTGTCTGCAGCCTCTGGGCTATGGCGTGGCGTCCAGCAGGCGCAGGAGGTGAGCCACGAGGACGGTGCTGTGTCCCTGTCTCTGTGACTGTGGGCAGACCTCCTTCCCCTCCCTCTGAGCCACAGTGTCCCCAAAGCACATGACGACCTCTGAGTCTCAGCTCTGCCACTGCAGAGGTGGAGGGCTCCACAAGGGCCCCTCTCGCTCGTCCTTTGTAACCTCAGGCCCTGACCTTGGCATCAAAGGGGTGCTTTGGGGCAGGTGTTTGGTGCAGAGGGGTAAGCTGCCACTTGGATGGCCGCTTTCCCTACTCAGTGCCTGGTTTGAGTCCCGGTCACTCCATACTTCCTATCCAGCTGCCTGCCAGTGGAGTTGGGAAAGCAACTTGAGTTGGCTCAAGTGCTGGGGTCCCTGCACCCACCCCTGGAGACCTGGATGGAGCTCCTGGCTCCTGGCTGCAGCCTGGTCTGGCTCCAGCCCCAGCTCCCAGCTGTTGCAGCCAATTGAGAAGTGAATTAGCATATGGAAGATCTCTCTCTCTCTCTCTCTCTCTCTCTCTCTCTCTCTGCCTTTCAAATGAATAAATATTTAAATAAAAATAGGGTTGTGTTTCATAAATGTCTGTCAGGGGCTGGTGCTGTGGCATAGTGGGTAAAGCCCCCTCCTGCAGTGCCGGCATCCCATATGGGCGCCGGTTCAAGTCCCAGCTACTCCACTTCTCATCCAGCTTTCTGCTATGGCTTGGGAAAGCAGTAGAAAATGGTCCAAATCCTTGTGTTTCTGCAACCACATGGGAAGACCCTGAGGGAGCACCTGGCTGCTGGCTTCGGACCAGCACAGCTCTGGCCATTGTGGCCATTGGGGAGTGAACCAGGGAATGGAAGACCTCTCTTTCTCTCACTTGCGCTCTCTTGCTCTCTCTGCTTCTGCGTCTCTGTAACTCTGCCTTTCAAATAAATTTTTTTTTTTTTGGACAGGCAGAATGGACAGTGAGAGAGACAGAGAGAAAGGTCTTTCTTTTTTTCCGTTGGTTCACCCCACAATGGCCGCTGCAGCTGGCGCACCGCGCTGATCTGAGGCCAGGAGCCAGGTGCCTTCTCCTGGTCTCCCATGTGGGTGCAGGGCCCAAGGACCTGGGCCATCCTCCATTGCACTCCCAGGTCACAGCAGAGAGCTGGCCTGGAAGAGGGACAACCGGGACAGAATCTGGCGCCCCGACCAGGACTAGAACCCAGGGTGCCAGTGCCGCAGGTGGAGGATTAGCCTAATGAGCCATGGCGCTGGCCCCAAATAAATCTTAAAGAGTCTGTTAGTCCTTTTTACTTCTGTCCTCAACCTCAGCTAACAGGGCTGGGCAAAGCCTCAACATGGACCCCAAGCCTGGCCCTGTGACCCTCGGTCACCTTTCCAGAAGCTGCCTCAGAGCGGTCCAGAGGGGCTCTCCTCTTCCTGATGCATCAGCCCTAGCTTCCCTGCTCTGACCCCCTTGGGCTGGGTAAGAAGGGCAGGGCAGATGATGTAAGGCAGACACGAGGCGTGAGGGTTCACGCGTCTGCAGGCGGGGTGGGGTGGGCACACGAGCCCTGGCCAGCAGATCCTGAACTCTTGCATGAGGGACTTCTGTCCTCCCCAGGGAGGGGGCAGGGGAAGGCTGGGTCGCACTGGGGCTTGTGGCTCCCCTCCCCCTCAAGGAGCAGATCACACGATGACCACAACATGGAGGGGGCATTGGACACGTGTAAATCTGATCCCACATCCTGGTCCTGGGCAAGTCTCATCACTTCCAAACCTCAGTTTTGTCATCTGAGAAATGGGAGTTAGCACATCCACACCCAGAGTCCCGAGCGGCAGCTGCTGAGACGGTAAGCAGAGGTGGGGGTCAGCGTGCACAGGGACCCCTGCGGGTGCCTGTTACCTGCGAGGGGGCAGGGTGGCACAGAGGTCACAAGGGGAGCAGTGACGTTCAGGGAAGGGAGTGACGGTTTCCAGCCAAGGGGAAGACCTGGAGGAAGTGACTCGCAGACAGGGCCGTGAGGAAGTTACGCCAAGCAGGTGAGTAAGGGCCTGCGGTGCGTGTCCATGGTTGCATCACAGGGGTCACTGGGTAGACACACAGCTAGTGCACACCCACCAGCTCACCTGCCACCTTACCCCGTCCCGGGTAGAACAAAGTTCACTAAAACGGCCCGCAGGTCAGGGGTGAGGCCTGGACCCTCCCCAGCCTGGCATACAAGGCTCTCCTTGCTGGCCCTCTAGACTTCGCCAGCCTCCCCTCACCCCTGCCGGGCACCCACACTGCCCTCGCATGGTGCACGCCCTTCCCGTGCACCTGAAACCCTTGCCCTGACCCGGTCATCGTCACCCCCAAAGACCACCCCCCTGTCAAACCTCAGCCCCTCCCCCTCCCCCTGAAACTACTCTCTGCCCTGAATCAGAGGTAGTTCCCTCTTTCAGGAGTGAGGTCATGGGCATGGACCATGCACTGGGAACACTCTGAGGGCCAAGACCACAGCCTTGCTGCCTTTGGCGTCTTCCTAGCACCCCAGCATGGGGCCTGATGTGCCTCTGCATCCCCACGAAGGGGACTTTTTTCCTTTTTAAAACATTTATTTACTTGAGAGGCAGAGCTACAGAGAGAGAGAGAGAGAGAGAGAGAGAGAGAGAGAATCTTCCATCTGCTGGTTCACTCCCCAAATGGCTGCAAAGGTCAGAGCTGGGCTTATCCGAAGCTAGGAGCCAGGAGCTTCCTCTGGGTCTCCCGCATGGGTGCAGGCACTTGGCCATTTTCTAGTGTTCTCCCAGGCCATTAGCAGGGAGCTGGATCAGAAGCAGAGCAGCCGGGACTTGAACTGGCGCCCATATGGGATGCTGGCACTGCAGGTAGAGGCTTAACCTATTATTGCCCCCACCCACAGAAGTGGGACTTGACTGGATGCATCAGTTATCCCCATCCAGCACCCTCTAGGCCGCGGCAGGGATGGTGGGGAGGGGATTGCATTCGTTGTCTGTTGAACAGCAAATGGCTCCTAAACAGCGAACGCCAGCTGTCTCACTGTCTCAGGGGCTAGAGACCTGGGAGCGGCTTAGCTGAGTGCTTCTGGCTCAGGGTTCCTCACGAGGCAGAGCCAGGCTGGGCTGTGACTGTAGTCTGACGGCTCAAGGAGGCTGGAGGAGCTGCTTCGAGCGCATGGGCAGCGAGGGGCAGGAGCGCGCCTCATCACGGGAGTGCCTCACCACCAGGGCCCCTCAGCCTGTGAGCTTCTCACCACCTGGGCTCCGCCGCCTTGAGCTTCTCGCCGTGTGAGCGCCTTGCCGCGTGAGCGCCTCACCACCCGGCCCCTCCGCAGGCCGCCAGGGGCACGCTTCTGCAGGGCGAGTGAGTCAAAAAGAGAGAGCAGCCACCCTGCCGTTTGTGTCTGAGCCTCGCAGCCCACGCCAGCGAGGCTGCCCTGCTTCCTTGGTTACACCCGAGTCACTCGGTCCAGGCCACGCTGCACACCGGTGGGTGAGCACAGGGGGTGAGGTCGCGGGGGATGGGGTGAGCCCCTGGGGACCACGCTGGGCTACCCCAATCTGTGTGCTGCTGCACAGGGTGGCCACAAAGAGGGCGCTCACGTGGGGGCAGCCGCAGCTGGCGGGAGGCAGCAATGATGCGTGTGATCCATCGGCCTCGCTGGGAAGGCACAGGTGACCACTGGACTTGAGGGAGCCTGGGGGTGGGGAGGCTGCTTCCTTCGAAGAAACCTGGGAGGCTGCTTCGAGCCCTGATGTAGAAGGAGCCACACCAAACCCATGTGCAGAGAGGCATCCTTGCTCGGGGGAAGCCTGGGAGACTGGGGTGTTTGCTGTAGCTTCAGCCTTCTTGACGGGTGGCAGGAGCAGCACATACAAGGGTCAGTGTATTAATCTGGCACCTTGTAGCTGACACCTGCTGGCACCCTCAGAGTTGCCTGTGGGGCCTCACCATCGTGTGGGGAAGACAATTTCCTGCACCCCAGCACACACGCACATTCAGACAAGAGATAGCAGCACGACTGGTCAGGTCCGAGGTCCTCAGTGCTGGGGACAGGTGGGGTCTCCTCTGGCAATCACGCTGTCCTTTGACCTGGGAGAAGTTCTCAGCCATCATCACTCTCTGGGGACAAAGGGCCCACTGGGGCCCAGACCTTCTGATACTGCTGTGCGGTGACTCAGCTAGGGGTGGCAGGCGGGACAGGGATCAGCCAGCACAGCCCAGCCAGCAGCCACGTGGCATGGGGCCAAGGCTCACCCTCCTGGGGGGACTGTGTTTTCCCAGGACTCAGAAGGAGGTGGAGAGGTGAGGAGGGCGTCGGCCGGTAGCTGCTGGGTGAGCAAAGGCACAGAGGAGTGTGGATTCAGAGAACAAAGGTGCGGGTTAGGTCTCTAGGCCAGCAGACCTTCATGGAGCCCTTGCTGTCCCTGGGACCGGAGGCAGAGCGACGACAGGGTAGTCCGGGGTACTGGTGTGGCCTTGCCCGCTGTCTAGTCACTGAGGCAGGTTAGCAGGAGCCCTGGATGGTCCCAGAGCCAGCAGGGGTCACAGACCAGGCCAGTTGGGCAGAAGCCGCTGTGGGGGGAACAGAGCATCTGCGTGAATGATGTCATGGAGGGGCAGAGTCAGCCCCTCGAGCCGATTCCTGAGCACCTACTGTGTGCTGGGCCCTGGGGAGCATGTTCCGTGGACATCACCTCAGTGGTACCCGCAGCGCCCTCTTTATAACAGTTGAGTTTCCTTCCTCAGAGAAGAACCCTGGCCCCAGCGCAAGGGCCGCCTGCTACCAGACAGCTACCACAGGCCACGCTCTCCCTGCCTGGGTCTGGCCTGAGACCCAGCAGAACTGCACCCCGGAAAGAGCAGGGGCCCAGGAGAGCACCAGGCACACAGCTCCCGCCCCCGCCTGGCCCCTGCCCAAGTCGTGTCCCCGCGCTGAGCCTCGGCTTCTTCCTCTGGAAAGAGCAGGTGCTCATTCCTCCTCTTCCCTCCATTCCATACATCCCAGGGAATGGCCTGTGAGTGCCCCAGGATGGTCCGCACCTGTCACAAAGTAGCTGGGCAGTCCCTAGAGGGCGGATCTCCCTGTACTGCCATGGAAGCCTCACCTGAGGGTTTCTGTCTCTGGCCAGGTGCACCAGGGCGGTGGGGAGTGGCTACGTCTCTGGTGGGAGAATACATAGAAGGAGATGGGCAGGCAGCTCCTTCTGCAGGGACCCTTAAAAGAACAAAAAACCCTGGCTCCATCAGGGATGTGTGGGTGATGGGGCCTCCCTCAGAACAAAGTAAAACTGTCAAAACCTGCGTTTGATGAGGCTCTGCATCGATGCTTCCCAAAACACGTGTGATAAAGGACCAGAGGTTTTTTTTTTCCCCCTAATCATTCACAGACCTCTTTATATTGAAAAATGTATTTATTATTATAAAAATAAAAAATAAAATGAAAAAATTTTAAAAATACAACTTTGTATCAGTTCCAACAGCGATAAAATGGCTCAGCCGCACCGCTCTGCTCTGCCGTTTCTGCCCAGGTCGGGTCCCCAGACCACGCTGTAGCGGGAATCTTGAGCACATTTTGCTAAGTCAGACTTAACGACCACACACTGTGATTTCATCCACGTGATGTTCCAGAGAAGGGTAAGATACTGACATGAGAACCGGATCAGCCGTTACCAGGGGTTCAGGCAGCCTTTGCCTGGAGAACCGTAGGGAATTTCTCGGGTAGTGGAACAATCTGCCTGGAATTGTAGACCTGCATACACAAACCCACAAAGTAGGGGCTAGCAACTGGCCCAGTGGCTAGGACGCTGCCTGTGACACCAGCACCCCACATCGGAGTGCCTGCTTCCAGTCCTAGCTACTCCTCTTCCCATCCAGCTTCCTGCTAACAGGCACTTTGGGAAGCAGCAGGATCAAGCACTTGACTCCTTGCCATCCACACGGGGGCTCTGGCTTTGGCCTTGCCCAGCCACGGCTGCTGTGGGCATTTGGAGAGTGAACCAGCAGATGATGATTCTCTCTCTCTGCTTTCAAATAAATGCAAGTAAATAAATAAAACTTTTAAAAAAAAGGCTTGAAGAATTCAGGTAAATATTTTAAAAAATATTGTGAAATAAAAACCCACAAGTCAATTTTAGTGTATTGAAATTAAATTATTAAAATGAGTCCAAAGTTGAGCATCCCGGAGCAGAATGAAGACTCTGCAGAAAGAATCTTTTTTTTTTTTTTTGACAGGCAGAGTTAGACAGTGAGAGAGACAGAGAGAAAGGTCTTTCTTTTTCTTTTTCTTTTTTTTTTTTAAAGGATTTATTTATTTGAGAGGCAGAGTTACAGACAGAGGGAGAGACAGGGAGAGCGAGGTCTTCCATCTGCTGGTTCACTCTCCAAATGGCCACAACAGCTAGGGTTGGGCCAGATGAAAACTAGGAGCCAGGAGCTTTTCCTGGGTCCCCCATGTGGGTACAGGGGCTCAAAGACCTGGACCTCTTCCACTGCTTTCCTGGGTTATAACAGAGACCTGGATCAGAAGTGGAACAGCCAGGACACAAACCGGCCCCCATATGGGATGCTGGCATGGCAAGCGGAGGCTTAACCCACTACGCCACAGTGCCAGCCCCAAGGTCTTTCTTTTTCCATTGGTTCACCCCCCAAATGGCTGCTGCAGCCGGCGCACTGTGCCAATCTGAAGCCAGGAGCCAGGTGCCTCTTCTTGGTCTCCCATGCGGGTGCAGGGCCCAAGGACCTGGGCCATCCTCCACTGCACTCCCAGGCCACAGCAGAGAGCTGGCCTGCAAGAGGAGCAACCGGGACAGAATCTGGCGCCCCGACCTGGACTAGAACCTGGGGTGCCGGCACCTCAGGCAGAGGATTAGCCTAGTGAGCCACAGCGCCAGCTGAAGAAAGAATCTTGGTTGCCCAGTAAATGCAGGTGAGACCTGCGGTTCAGGGAATGAAGGAATACAGGTGCTGGCTTGAGTGACTTGGAGAAAGAGTATTTTGGCTGGAAACTGTAAGACGAACATCAAAACAAAATGCACATAACACTGCATTGTGGTGGGTAAAGCTGAATTGCTCACAGGGAGCACGTTAAAAATTCCGAAACCGCTGTGCTTGCGTGTGAGAGGGAACAGACAGACAAATGGGTGGTGGCAGCCAGTTTTCTCCCTGTGGGAAAGGGAGGGAGCCAGACGGATGCGTGTGGTAAGGGATAAGAGTGGGAGACTTCGCCGTGAACTGACCCAGAAAGACCCAGAAACATGCATCCACAGATTTTCCTAGCTCTGTCTTCTGAGAGAACCCAGTAGCAATGGCACCCCAATAGGAATTAGCACACCTAGAGCCCAGATCTTAGTTTCTAACACCATTCTTAAAAAAAAAAAGGGGGGGGGTGGTTCCTGAGATGCCTGGGGAAATGGCTGGTTCTAGAGCTGGGGCAGGGACAATCCCAGGTGAGCCCAAGGACTCTCATAGCAGCAGGAACTCAAGAGGAATTCCAAAAACAGGATGATGGGGTGTGTCTCACCCGGGAGCAAACTGCAGAAGCTGCCAGCGGCCAAGCTGGAACCACGGGAGCGGCAAGGTAAATGATGTAGTATTGGGATGCTAACCCAGAGCGCGAAAGGATCTGTGAGCGAGTGCTGATGTAAGTGATCGGAGACTAAAGCAATGGAAGAGAAGAGAACTCTCCCTCACAGAAGATTCCGGAGTAATTCACGGGGCTGTTCCCCCCCCCCCAGGCACGGGAGCACAACCCCCTCCCAGGTGAACTTGGAGTGCTCCGTGACTTGCCTCCAAGGGCGCAGGATGGGAAGGGTTGGGTGTGGAGGGACAGACATGGGGTAACTGTACAGTGGAAAAACCTTGGGCAGGGGGCCAAGGTTACTCTCCCCAGTGCTGTCATGTTGACAGTGTCCCCTGTGCTGTGGTGAGGATGGCATGCCACTTCGCCTCCCCAAAGCCCGCATTCCCAGGCGAAAACATAACATGCATCCAAATTCAGGGGCATTCTACAAAATATCTGACGCACAGTCCTCCAAACGAGAGGTCACCAGAGGCAAGGGAAGCCTGAGCAACTGCCCCAGACCAGGGGAGGCTGAGAAGAGCACCAAGTAAGCGTGGTGTGGCCAGGCGGCAGTCACCTGGAGTCACGGTGAAACCGGAAAGACTGGAGCCTGCTCGATGGCAACACCCAACCTTGGCTCTGGGCCATGACACAGACAACAGCCATGCACAGTGCTGCACAGGGGAATGTTCTGGGATGAGGCCATGCAGTCCGCAACTTCTCTGTCAACCTAAAGCTAGTACAAAATGATAAGCCTACATTAGAAAGCTGGCGGTGGGATTAATGCCGTATTGGCTTTCTGAGGCCGCTGTAGAGAATTGCTGCTCAGAACAGCAGGGTCCACGCCGGAAGTGCAAGGTCAGGGCGACAGCAGTCCGATCCCCTCACAGGCTCCAGGGCCATCTCTTTCCCCGCCATTTCCAGGATCTACAGTGACGTTCCCCGGCCCAGGGGCCTCCTTCTCTCCTCAGAGCACTCTGCTACCCTCGTGACGTCACTGCTGCCACCTGTGCCTGCTAAACTCTCTCTCTACGCCCCGCTTACAAGGATACTTCCTGCTACATGTAGAGCCCAGGAGACTCCCTGCAACTCAAGCCCTAACATAGGTGGCCGGCGCTGCGGCACATAAGCCACTGCTTGCTGCACCCACGGCCCGTGACCGGACACCAGTAAAAGTCCCGGCTGCTCTGCTTCCCACTCAGCTTCTTGCTAACGTGCCTGAGAAGGCAGCGGAAGATGGCCCAAGTGTTTGGGCCCCTGCTCCCATGTGGGAGACCTGGATGGAGCTCCTGGCTCCTGGCTTCAGCCTGGCCCAACTCCAGCCATTGCATCCATTTGGGGAGTGAACCAGCAGCTTGAAGACCTCTCTCTCTCTCTGTCTCTCTGTGTGTGTGTGTGTGTGTGACTCTGCCTTTCAAATAAATAAATCTTAAAAAAATAAAAATAAACACCTGAACACGGTCACGTCAGCAAAGAGATCTCAGCCACATGAGGTGGCATCCACAGCCCCTAGGGGCTAGCATGTGGCTGCCTGTGGTGGGGCCGTTTCTCAGCCACCACAGACGCCAAGCGCACCCATTCTCCCCGAGCCTCAGATTCCGCCCCTGGAAGTCACACACATAATGTCTGTGAATCAGAAGGGACTAGGATCTGAATAGCACCTTGAGCCGGGCAGGTGAGCCATGAGCCCACACCTCCATAGGCTCCTTCTCTCCACTCTTATGGGGTTCTGTGGCAAGGTCAGCGTGGCATAGGCAAGGGAAACTGGGGCTGGGGACCCTGAGACCCAAGTTCAAATCTTGGCTCTGTCGGTAGCTGGCAGCCTGCCTGCAAGCAGTGGTGTTAGTGTGTGCACTAACTTTTGCACACGATTGTTAGAGTTGCCTGGGAGAGAGTTGCAGTGAGGTGCCCTTGTCCTGAGATGTCGTGATTGCAGGCTGTTCCCATTCCTGGCGTCTTGACTGGAGGATCTCGGTCCCTCCCAGGAACCGCAGGCCACAAGGCTTAACGATGGCCATAGTGGCAGAGACTCCGCCACCGTGGCCGCGGGAGGGTGATGAAGGGAATAAAACAGCCTTGTTGTTTCTTGCTGGCTCCCACGAGTCCCCCTCGGTCTAATCGGGGTCGGCGGTGGCAGCCTCTGTTTGAATGACCAATGGGGTTGTTTTTGTTGAGGACTGATCTATTGATTGATTTGAAAGGTACAGAGAGCCAGAGATCCCTCCACCCCATGACTTACCCCAAATGGCTGCCACAGCCAGGTCAGGGCCAGGCCGAAGCCAGGAGCCAGAAACTCCATCCAGGTCTCCCACATGGGTGGCAGGGACCCAAGCACTTGAGTTATCGTCCACAGCCTTCCCAGGCCATTAGCAGGGAAGCAGATGGGAGGTAGAGCAGCCGGGACTCGGTCTGGCGTTCCCATGGGGGATGCTGGTGTCTAAAGCGGCGGCTTACCTGCTGCGCCGGCACTCGGACCCTGGTTTCCACAGATGAAGCCTTGCGATTGCTCTGATGATGGGCGACATTAGCTCCGAGCCCCAGTTAGATTATCCTCCAGGAAGACTTCTATTGTTCTTATTAGTAGACCTATATCACAAAAAATTGCCGTACCTGTGAGATTTGCCCACTAACATTGTGCGCAGTCGTGTTTCCCTGCGCGACAGGAACACTTGCATAACATCCTCCGCTCTGCCTCCTCCTGCCGCCGCTTCACCAGCCCCGTCTCCCTTCTCCACTGTCTTTAACCACCCACAGATCCACCCTCCACTATGTGGCCAGGAATGTCTCTGACCCACCAGTCCCTGGGTGCAGACTCACCTGGGCTCCTCGGTGCCCTGTGGAGGGTGCATCTCATGCACTGGCACAGCCCGATTCCCACCCCCCCCACCAACTCCTTACCCTCCCACCACACTGAACTTTCTCCTAGTTCCCTGGACACCCTGCTTCCCCTAATGCCAGCATTCTGCCCAAGCCATTCCTTCGGCCTGAGCTGCCTGCTACCACCCCCATCTGATTCCTTTTGGTTTTTTAAGTCATTTCAGATATCAGCTCCTCCAGGAAGCCTACCCTGATGCCACCTCCCTCCAGCTGTGAGGTGCCCCTCTGGGTTTTCATGGCCCTCTGCTTCTTTACAGCTCAGCGTCAATCACTTTCTTAAAGTGCCTGGGCCTCAGCCAGACTTCCAATCCAGCTGCTCTCACTTTATGCTGACGTCCTCGCTTTCCAATAGAAGGCTCCTGCATTTGGGGGGAGCAGGCCAGGGCCGGGGCTGCATGTCAGGGGGTCCAATCCATTTTCTTCCCTGGCCTGTAGTTTCCCATCTGTACACCAGGGGCAGGGAGCCCCTGGCTGGCTCTAAGGCCCTGGTCAAAGGTGGGAGGAAACCCCTTGGGGCTGGGGTGGCAGCTGAGCTCCCAGCAGCCTTATCAGCCCTCCACAGGCAGCCCCAGACAGACACGAGCCTGGGTGCTGAGAGCGGCGTGATCTGGGCCATTCCAGCCAAAGGTCAGTCCTTAGTGGCCAGCTGCAACTGGCCTGGCCCTGGCCCATGCTCCCCTCTCCCTTCTCCTGAGAGCTGGGAATTAAAACAAAACAAAACAAAACACAAAACTTGGTAGGCCTGGTTTCTGGTGTGAGCTCAGGAACACGCATGTGCGAAGTATGTGCAAGTCTGCAGATGCGCTTCTGCACCAGTCCATGCGTGCATGTGAGAGCAAGTGCACACCTGTGCATGGGTCTGCGGGAGGGCCCCCGTGTGCGTAGTGCACGTGCAAAGTCCCACCGAGTGTCCCCGTGCCTGCACAGCTGGGTACACGGCTGAGGCAGTGGAGCTGAGAGGCCAGAGAGGAGTTGGAGACCCCCGCCCTGCCAAGCTATGGCACTTGCTTCTTTGGAGCGCCCCCGACCCTGCTGCCTCCTGTCTCATGCCAAGGCTGCAGCCTTGCTTCTGGTCCCTGGTCTCTCCCAGGGAGCCTCGCCCTTCCCCCTGGCCACCCACTGCTGTTGGGAGAGACCCAGAATCCTGAACTCAAGCTCCCCCAGACGCTCCCTGGCCATCCCCGTGTCCATTCCATGCTCCTGCGGGTCTCCCTCCTAGCCACCTGCCCCTGCCCCTTCCCAGGCTGGCTGTGCACTACTGAGCACACTTCCCCCACGTGCAGGGCGCCGTGCCCCCACCGCCCTACCCTCACCCCAGGCGCCCCTGAGCCAAGGCTAAGGGGTGAAAGGCAACTGCTTTGCTCCAAGATGGGACACACTCTGGGGCATAAGTCACATTTCAGGGCCCCTGGGGGAATAGACATGCCTAGTTCCTCCCCTCCCTGCCCTGCGTCCTCAAAGCCTTCCCCAGTTTCTCCCTCAGGCTCTGCTTTAAGAAACCAATGGTCGTTCACTCCCCAGGCCTCCCCATAGCCCACCAGGGAGGGCGGAGGGTGGGAGGGGGAGGTGCTTCCACAGCGACCCTCATCCTGCTGCCCCACGACTATTGCCGGCCTCCCCTGCAGGTCCAGGCCCCTTCAACAAAGCCCCTAACAGCCCAGGCTTGGGGCGGGGGTTCTTTGAGCCTGCTTGGGTCTCCCAATCCCAGGGGGTCCCCTTAAGCCATCATCTGTTTTTGGAAAAGGAAGCACTCAGGATAGGAAGGCACAAAAAGAGAAGTCTTGGGGCCAGCGCCGTGGTGCAGTGGGTTAATCCTCTGCCTGCAGCGCTGGCATCCTATGTGGGCGCGGGTTCTAGTCCCAGCTGCTCCTCTTCCAGTCCAGCTCTCTGCTGTGGCCCGGGAAGGCAGCGGAGGATGGCCCAAGTGCTTGGGTCCCTGCACCCGTGTGGGAGACGAGAAGAAGCTCTTGGCTCCTGGCTTCAGATCGGTGCTGCTCCGGCCGTTGTGGCCATTTGGGGAGTAAGACCTTTCTCTCTGTCTCTCCCTCTCATTTTTTGTAACTCTACCTCTCAAATGAATAAATAAAATCTTAGAGAGCGAGAGAGAGAGAGAGAGAGAGAAAGTCTTTCGGCACGGAGGTCTCAAGGCAAGAATTCCAGGGCCGATACCCTTGCCACACTGCCACCTTCCAGGGCAGACAACCAGGAGGCCAATGGGGTCCTGGCTGGGGAACTCCAGATGGTGTCATTCTTGGGTAAGGCCTCGTGTGGTAGACGAGCTTCCATTCGAGAAACCGAGACCCCGTCCCGACTTGCACTCAATCACTCTAGGGGGTCTCCTGATGCCCTGGGGGCCCCACCTCCCTGTCTGCGGAACTCCAGTGCCTGGGCACAGGGTGCACCCTGGATAGATGCAGCGGTTCCTCAGCCTGTCTGCACCTCAGTGGAGATGAGCTGACTGAGCTCAGCGCTGGTTGGCGGGTTAAGGGGGGTGTGGCAGGGAGAGCACTTGGCTTTGTACCATCCCAGGGTTGTATAACTGGACTGGTGCTGTGGCCTCACCGACTTGACAAGGCTCCTGTGCTTTGTAAAAATCAGAGGACGGAGCACAGGGGACTCAGGGAAGCAGGGAGGGCTGCAGGGACGTCCCTTCCCTGTGGCCCACCTGCCCTGCCCAGACCTTGCAGGCTTCACACAGGAAAAACAGATGCCCCAGGGGCTGCAGCATGCGTTCTGGGCAGCTGAGCTAATCCAGGTTGAGCAGACGTGTCTCCATAGCTGACAGGGTCCACTGAATGTTTTTTAGATTTATTTTATTATTTATTTGAAAGGCAGAGATGCAGAGAGAGAGGGAAACACACCCCCCCCCCAGAAACGTAGTGAGAGCTTCCATCCTCTGGTTCACTCCCCAAATGGCCACAAAGACTGGAGCTGGACCAGGCCAAAGCCAGGAGCCAGGAGCCAGGAGCCTCATCTGGGTCTCCCATGTGGCTGCAGGGCCCCAAGCACTTGGGTCATCTTCAGCTGCTTTCCCAGGCGCATTAGCAGGGGGCTGGATCTGAAGTAGAGCAGCTGGGACGAGAAGCGGCACTATAAATATGGGATGCCGGTGTCCAAGGCAGCACGTTAACCTCTGGGCCACGGCACCAACCCATAGACTTGTGCTATTGCTACTGTTTTATTTATTTCTTTATTTTTCAGATTAGAAGCCCTGCCATTTTGGCACTCTCAGTCCTTCACTGAGATGCATGCCTGCTCTGCCAGGTGCAGTCCCTTCCTTAAACTTGGCTAGCATGCTTCTGTTAAAAAAAGAAAGAAGATCCATTTTGTCAGAGTTCCACTTTTGATTATGGCAAATTACAAGTAACGTGAAAGCTACCTCGTGACCACGTTTCAGTGGCCAGTTCAAGGATGTCCATGCCTTTCACCTGCTGACCACAGTCCACCTCCAGAACTCGTCACCTCGCAAAGCCCACACAGAGCCAGGAGCTAGACACCTCATCGCCTGCAGCCCCCTCGCATACTGTTCCGTTCTGGAGCTGAGCAAAGCATCGGATTTGATGTACAGTGCCTTCAAGACAGACCTGTGGACGGCTTACTGTGCCACCTACATGGGAGACCCGGAAGAGGCCCCTGGCTTCAGATTGGCCCAGCTCTGGCCCTTGTAGCCATCTGGGGAGTGAACCAGCTGATGGGAGATCTCTCTCTCTCTCTCTCTCTCTCTCTCTCTCTTTCTCTCTGTAATCCTGCCTTTAAAAGAAATAGAATACTCTTGATTCCAGCCCAGCTGTCTAACTCTGGAACCTCTGCTCTTACTACTCCGTGGGGCCCATGCTGCACAGCTGGGGAGGCCAGGGGGTTTGGTCAAGGTCCTTCCTGAAGGGTCCTTGACCCTCAGCTCCATGACAAGTCCTACTGGAGCGCTGTTCTGGTTCTGTTCAGGAATTCAAGCTGGGACTTCTACTTAGAGTTCACACAGCAAGTTCACATTCAAGTTCCAAAACCTGCATAGGAACTCTGAGGGTCCTTTAAGAGGGGACACACGAATTCGTTCAGTTTTGGCGTACAGAGATGCAATGCAGCTGCCACACAAGTGGGTAAGAAGAAACCAATAACATCTCAGTGGGTTCTTGATGTAGTGTGGCCTTGCACGCGGCCAGCAACCAAGAGACTCCAATCAGGGGGCATCTGACTCACTGCGAGGTTCCCACGACCTCTTCCGAGCGCTCCGGGGATGGTCGGGGCTGGGTGCTTTGGACACACTGCTTTGGGCAATCAAGAAACTGCACCCCCTCACTCTGACCCAGTTTGGACACACAAAGAAAGCTGTCGCCGGCACCGCGGCTCACTAGGCTAATCCTCCGCCTTGTGGCGCCGGCACACCAGGTTCTAGTCCCGGTTGGGGCGCCGGATTCTGTCCCAGTTGCCCCTTTTCCAGGCCAGCTCTCTGCTGTGGCCAGGGAGTGCAGTGGAGGATGGCCCAAGTGCTTGGGCCCTGCACCCGCATGGGAGACCAGGAGAAGTACCTGGCTCCTGCCATCAGATCCGCGCGGTGCACCAACCACAGCGTGCTGGCCGTGGCGGCCATTGGAGGGTGAACCAACGGCAAAAAGGAAGACCTTTCTCTCTATCTCTCTCTCTCACTGTCCACTCGGCCTGTCAAAAATAAAAAATAAAAATAAAAAGAAAGCTGTCAAAATCTCCACTGG